TGCCTGGTATCCGCACTGACGTCTCCGGGTACGTCCCAGCTCTTGCACGTCCACGTCGTCGCATGCACAGTCAACCATGGGCGCGAAATTACCTCTGTATCTAGCCTTACTGGCAGGTATTATCCCCTGGTCGACTGCCTCCTCTGCTCCCCTACACACTCGAGACGATGATGCCTTCTCACCCCCCTACTACCCAGCCCCCAACGGTGGTTGGCTTTCCGACTGGGCCAGTGCGTACGAAAAGGCGCAAAAGGTCGTCAGCAACATGACGCTGGCAGAGAAGGTGAACCTCACAACAGGAACCGGCATGTTCATGGGCCCCTGTGCGGGCCAAACAGGAAGCGCGCTTCGATTCGGTATCCCGAATCTCTGTCTCCATGACTCCCCGCTGGGCATCCGTAACTCGGACCACAACACAGCTTTTCCTCCTGGCATTACGGTGGGCGCGACATTCGATAAAGAGCTTATGTACCAGCGCGGCGTCGAATTCGGAGAAGAGGCTCGTGGCAAGGGTGTTAATGTGCTCTTGGGCCCTGTTGTCGGTCCGACGTTCCGCAAGCCTAGGGGAGGCCGTAATTGGGAAGGCTTTGGCGCGGATCCAAGTCTTCAGGCTATTGGCGGTGCGCTGACCATTCAGGGCATGCAGAGTACGGGGGCGATCGCGAGTCTCAAACATTTCATCGGAAATGAGCAGGAGATGCATCGCATGAGTAGTGTTATCACGCAAGGGTATTCTTCGAATATTGATGATCGAACACTCCATGAACTGTATCTGTGGCCGTTTGCGGAGGGTGTTCGTGCTGGGACGGGCTCGGTGATGATGGCGTATAATGCTGTAGGTGTACTGTTTTTCGAGTCGATGGTCATATCGCTAACGTCGCTCTAGGTCAACCGTTCCGCGTGTAGCCAGAATAGTATGCTCATCAATGGCATCCTCAAGGATGAACTCGGCTTTCAAGGCTTCGTCGTGACAGACTGGCTCGCTCAACTCGGTGGTGTCTCGTCTGCATTGGCTGGTTTGGATATGAGTATGCCGGGCGATGGCAGCATTCCACTGCTAGGTGATAGTTATTGGGGTTCGGAGCTCTCTCGGTCCATTCTCAACGGTACCGTTCCAGTGGAGCGTCTGAACGATATGGTAAGAATCCTATGCATCTCGCGACAATTTTCCCCCACAAGTCGCTTACGTTTCCAGGTCACCCGCATCGTTGCGACTTGGTATAAAATGGGCCAGGATGAGGACTATCCTCTCCCCAACTTCTCCAGTAACACCCTTGACGAGACTGGCCCTCTTTATCCCGGCGCCCTCTTCTCCCCTAGCGGCGTGGTCAACCAATATGTCAACGTTCAAGGCAACCACAATATCACCGCTCATGCCATCGCTCGCGACGCCATCACCCTTCTCAAGAACGAGAATAATACTCTCCCTCTCTCAACCACTGATTCCCTCAAAATTTTCGGCACCGACGCCGGCCCCAACTCCAACGGGCTCAACTCTTGCACCGACCAGGGCTGCGACAACGGCGTCCTTACCATGGGCTGGGGCAGCGGCACATCTCGTCTCCCATATCTCGTAACCCCCCAACAAGCCATCGCCAACCTCTCTTCCTCCGCTGAATTCTACATTACCGACTCCTTCCCCTCCAACCTCAAACCCAACGCCTCCGACATCGCTCTCGTCTTCATCAACGCTGACTCCGGCGAGAACTACATCACCGTCGAAACCAACCCGGGCGACCGCACCACCGCCGACCTCTACGCCTGGCACAACGGCGATGATCTCGTCAAAGCCGCCGCGGAAGTCTTCTCTACCGTCATCGTAATCGTTCACACCGTCGGCCCCATCCTCCTCGAGAATTGGATTGACCTCGACCCCGTCAAAGCCGTGCTCATCGCCCACCTCCCCGGCCAAGAAGCCGGCTACTCCCTAACCGACATCCTCTTCGGCTCATCTTCTCCCAGCGGCCACCTCCCCTACACCATCCCCTACATAGAATCCGACTACCCCTCCAGCGTCGGCCTCCTCGACCAAGCCTTCGGACAAATCCAAGACGACTTCACCGAAGGTCTCTACATCGACTACCGCCACTTCCTCAAAGCCAACATCACTCCCCGCTACCCCTTCGGTCACGGCCTCTCCTACACCACCTTCACCTACTCCACTCCCTCCCTCACAACCGTCACCGAGCTAGATACAGCCTACCCCCCAGCCCGTCCATCCAAAGGCCCAACTCCATCTTACTCCACCGCCATCCCCAACCCATCCGAAGTCGCCTGGCCCTCCTCCTTCTCTCGCATCTGGCGCTACCTGTACCCCTACCTCGACAATCCCCAATCAGTCACGAACTCCTCCTCATCCTCATACCCTTATCCATCCGGCTACTCCACCACTCCGAAACCTGCACCCCGAGCTGGAGGTGGTGCCGGTGGCAATCCCGCTCTTTGGGACGTTGCATTCGCGGTGGAAGTGACTATTATGAATAGTGGGAATTACAGTGGTCGTGCTGTAGCGCAGTTATATGTGGAGTTACCGACTGATGCATTGGGGGTCGATGCGCCATCAAGACAGCTGAGACAGTTTGAGAAAACTGGTATTCTGAAGCCTGGGGAGAGTGAGACGGTCGTGATGAATGTCACGAGGAAGGATGTGAGTATTTGGGATGTAGAGGTGCAGGATTGGAGGGTACCGGTTGGTGGGGAGGGGGTGAGGTTCTGGGTTGGGGAGAGTTTGGGGGATTTGAGAGGGAGTTGTTTGGTTGGGGGTGGGTGTGAGGGGGTGTAGGTGGGTGCAGTGTTGGGGTTTGTGTTATTGAACTAGGATTAATGGTGTGGAGTGTTTGAATTGCATCCGCAAAGTAGTCCATGAGCTTTAAAAAGTGTTCAATTTCATGGCAATCGGATACGGTTGCGTATGTTCCACTACCTATTAGTATTATAGTAGCCACTAGGGTTGATTGGTCCGGGGAAACAACTTACTGGAAGCCAACACGAGTGACCTGTCCATCCATGGCACTGATTCGTGTATTAAACTTTTCTTTAAGGTTACCATAAGCTTGATTTTTTTCTCTTTAAATAATATTGAAGTTCCGATGTAGATTTAGAGAAATAGGTTACGAAATTGGCTGGGTAAAATCAAATGTTGATCCCAAGGGCGCCCTTTAGCTCGTGTTCAGGGCCCAGCGCCATGGTAAGGGGTGAATTATCCGCCCCCACCCATCACTTGATGATGTTCGGCTGTAGTCTCCGCTGGGTCAGACGTATCGGTTGACCGGGTTTGTGGAACCGATCCTATTACTAGTTCAAGCTTCGTGATAAGCTTTTTGACCTTCGCAGTCAAAAAAAGACCAATTGCAATCTTGTGTCAAAGCCTTGCCAAGGAAGCCGAAAAGTAGATATGACGCGGCGGCTCGGAGCATAGGAATAGATGTGTTCGAAACGACCACCAACACCACTCGCATAACACTGAAATCACTCGTACGATAATGTATTCGCCTAGATAATACTTTTTTGACTGTGTTTCTCGAACATCGGCACTTAACACCCATGTAGTGTACACCAAGTCGGGACGTTAAGTGGACCAACATGAGAAAAGTTTATTTATTCTCCTAGAACTGGATTTTCAGTGTTACGAGGATGGATATTCTCACTCAAAAACAAATGGACAATGAAACAACCTGACTGAAGAATTTTGCGAGTATTAATTCTCAATTTCCCTCGAACCTTCACCTAAACCTTCCTCCATCCAAGGCCATTTGTTCTGCGTCAAAATAACGAAACATTCAACTCCACCTCATTCCTCGTTCCCAATTCAAGGAACAGAATGTAGAGACGAATCAAATATCCTCAGCATTAAAGGTCACCCGTAAATGGGCAGTAGTCCAGCCATGCCAACCATGTCTGCCGGTATCAGAACCATCCGGGCCAAAAGTGAGTTCCTCGTGCGACGGATTCTCGTAAAGCTTGCCATGCTCTTTGACCTTTCGGATCCTGCCTTCGTAGTTGATATAGGCCGTGCGAGGATCCTCTGCAACTTCATTAGCAAGCTTGTCTTTGACTTGCACGGAGAGGCGGTTCTTGAGATCGCCCATAGAGGGGTGGCGGCCGCTGTGGTCGCCGTAGAGGTCTGTGGAGAAGGTTTTGGACATGGTGTTGTTTTAGAAGGTGTTGGTTTTCTTGGGGTAGTACATGGTATGAGTCGAGGGTGAGGGTTTTTGGATGATGGATCGTTGAGGGGGAGGGGACTGGGATAGTAGATGGCATTTATACATCAAGAAGGCTTCTTTCGTAAAAGAATTACCCTGTATGACGTGAGGAGGTTAGAAACTCAAAAAGGTCTACCCGGGGTTTATGATATAGCAAGACGTATCATAGAGAATGACATCGATCAGAGGAATAATGGAAGCATCATATGTTTATTTCTTACATTGGTAACGACTACCTCTCTTTTGCATATGAAGCAAGCTAGAATAATGGTTCCGGCAGTCTACACGCCCTTCATGTCAGTGCGTTGATACGCGTTTGCGATGCTGTAGGGTTTTAGGTACATCTAACCCTCCCCACGCGATAATATATTTGACATGGTATATTAAGAAGTAAGTGTAATATTGTGTGTTATCTACTTTTCGCAAGCACCAGCCATCGTTTATTTAGGACATGTCTCTGACCTGTTGTATGAACTACTTCACTGCTCAGGTGTCTAGGCCATTATAAGCTACTTCTGTAAAGATGGAGACTATTCCGTGTTAGGGTGTGGTGAGATGGAATCGCAGGATTCGGCCCCCACATGGGTTCCGAGCGGCATCGGATCAGGCTCTACTTCCAAGTGTGACTGTCAGACTGAATGCACTGCCTTACCCCTCCTGACATATATTATGTGCCATGCTCACATCTCCTCACCTGTTTGTCAGCAAAACTAACAGGACACTCCTTCTCATTGCATTGCGGTTGTGACGCAGTGAGCTGAAATTTGATGGTGAGCGCTCGAGAGAACGAGTCTCGCAATGACCATCTCTGTAAACCCAACGCCCTCGCTCTGGGCCATCGCGTTATCCTCTCTCTCGGAGAAGGACCGGCGGGTTCTAAAGATCCCCAATACATCATCACCGGCTACCAAGCAAATCTTGACCGAAATACTGGCAGCTCTCGAAACCCAACGCGACCGGTGTAAAAGAGACAAATGGACCACTATCAGCATCGGGGGCAGAGAGCTCGTCATTCGCGATGTATGCGCTAAAATTGCTGCCCACGTCAAGAAATTTATGCAGGTGGTGGACGCGGCTGTCCAACTTGATCCTGTCCACGCTGCACTGCCATGGGCGGGTGTGTGCTTCCTGCTGCAGTTGACATTCACGGCATTCGAGACCTTTGGCGCCATCGTCGAGGGCCTCGAAAAAGCAACCCGACTGATAGCCCGATGCGGGATTATTGAGGCCCTGGTCATCCGGCATAGTAGTGGAACGACTGGTGCGAAAATGGGGTTAGAAGAGGAGCTGGTGAAGCTGTATTCGGCGGTCCTGGGATTCCTTTGCAAGGCTAAGAAACATTATGATGGGTCTCGCATGAGTGGGTGTAATCATTCCGTGAGGTAGAGCCCAGGTCTTGTCTGTTGACAATGCAATTATAGAACGTGTGTTGAACCTGACTTCTCGGCAGTCACTCCAAGAATCGGTCAAAGAAATGGAGGCTGCGGAGCAGAAGGTACTAGTTATGAAGGGTCTAGTTGACAGCGAACGTGAGTTCTTACAAGATGACCTCGCATCAACCTGCTAACTATTCTTCAGGGATCCAAAAGATCGATCATAGCATTTCGACAATGCTCTTTGCTGTGACCTCTGTCGCAAACGGTGTCGACAATATGCAGACACGACTGGATGAAGCACTGACTGATCTCGATAAACCTATAGTTAGGTTTGCGGATGAGATGTCCGATCTGCATATTGCGCTCAAAGGTACCATGGCTACGAAACCATATGATTTACCGGAACTGACGCCAAGCAGAAAACGAGAGGAGCGAGCTCCTACAGTGGCTTTCTACTGTCTCCGTACAACAACACTACAGGGAAACATTGGCATCTGTTCTCCCGGGTTCCGGGGAGTGGCTTTTAAAGCAGCCATGCTTCGTGAATTGGAAGGATTCGAGTAGTTCTGAATCTTTCTGGCTTCATGGAATCCGTAAGTCCCACCCAAACATAAATTGTATATTTACAGTCATCAGCTGACCTAGAGTAAAGCGGGTTGTGGGAAAACCATGTTGACGTAAGCTTCCAATGCAGTGAGAATAATTATGCCTACTGATGTCTTATGGTCTCAGCGCCTTTGTAGTCAAATATCTACACCGGCAGAGCAGTGGTATATCCAAACCAGCACCGATTGCTCATTTCTTCTGTTCGCGAAGCCCCGCAGAGCCGGAACGCAGCGACGCACGCGAAATACTTCGATCCTTGCTCAAACAGATCTCGCTGATCGAAGGCGAAAGGACAATAAGGCTCCCATCAGTCGAAGCCTATAAAGTACGACGAGCAGAAGCAAGCCACACTGGAGAAAAGCCAGCACCACTAACAGTCGAAGAATGCGTTGAGCTGATATGCGAGATTGGCCGAGGAACGCCGCTTACTATTGTCATAGATGCACTGGATGAGTGCAGCTCTCAGCAACGTGGCATTATTATAGAAGCTCTCAAAGAAATTCGACGACAGTGTCGAGATATTGTTAAAATATTTGTGTCTAGTCGCCATGAAACGGACATAGCAGCTCATTTTGAGGGAGGAGAGATCTTTGAGATCACACCTACCGTTACTGAAGAAGATATAAGCCAATTTATTCGGGCCGAAGTCCACTCCTTTATGAACAAATGGTCGAAAATGCACTAAGAGCCTATACTGTTGTTGCAGCGGCTCGAGGAAGAGATTATAGACAAGCTCGTGGCAGGTGCACAAGGAATGTGAGAGGAGCCCGATTCCCATCGTCGTCACAGGGCTTTGATGCTAATCGTGTCAGGTTTCTCTGGGTGAGGCTCCAGCTCGAAAGTATCAGTGACACTGATCGAATCAAAGATGTTGAGAGTATCCGTCAAGCAATAACATCTTTCCCCCCAACGTTGAATGAATCTTACAAAGTCATCTACGAACGGATCCAAGGCTTAGGTAAAAGTCCGAGGACGGTCGCACTGCAAAGCCTTCGGTGGCTGTTATGCGCAAAACGAAAGCTTTCAGTCTCTGAATTCCTTGCGGCTGTCAGCAAGTCCCCTATGGGCTCTACATCAGTGTCAGCGGGATCTATCATAGATTACTGCTGCAATCTTATTGTCATCGACCATGCGGCAGACACATTCCGCTTTGCCCATATCACGGTCCGAGAGTAAGATTTTGGACTAAACGAGTGGAACAGATATCGTGCTGACAGCTCATACACAGGTTCCTCGAATCATTGTCCGATAACTCTATCCTTGAAGCTGACTCAACAATAGCCCAGAGGTGCTTAGGAACTTACCTTTGGGGCGACTTCAGTGAGGACGGCCTTTTAGAATATGCAACCCAGTACTGGCCCGCCCACGTGGAGCAGCTCAGCGGATCATCACAAAGAGTTGCGATTCAGAATCTCATCCTCGAATTTCTCACTGAAGAAGAGCACTTCGAAGACTGGATTGAATGTCTCGATGAACGTCCAGTCGAGCGGGGTTATAAATGGAGTAGCGCGCTTGAGAGGAAGCTCGAAGCGTGCTTGGCTTCGCCACCGTCAACCCTGTTCACAGTTTGCTGTTTTGGCCTTTCCGAAGCTCTAGAATGTCCAGAGGTCATCGAAATAATCGATGTGAACCAGACCAATAGACATGGAACTGCAGGCGTGTATTTGGCTGCTCGCTGGGGCTACACTGAAGTAGTCCGGAAACTACTTCAACTGGGCGCTGATGTCAACGGACCCGGGCATCAATATGGAAGTCCACTCCAAGCAGCGTCATTTAGTGGCCATAAAGACATTGTCAAAATCCTGCTTGACCGCGGTGTCACTGCCCCTCCGACTGAGCAAGGGGAGTACTCAAGTCCACTCCAAGCAGCTCTAGCAAGTGGCCATGATGATATTGCCGAGATCCTGATTGACAGTGGTCCCCATCTTGCCACACAAAGCCAGTTCACTGATGCGCTAGAGACCGCCAGCTTCAAAGGATCTACTGAGATAGTGGAGCGACTTTTAGCCGGCAAGGCTGGCAGCTTCACCCCTGATATTTGCCCTGACCCTCTCCAGGTTGCCCTCTTCGGTGGCAAAGCAAGGCAAGCAAAGCGGTTGCTACAGAGCTGCACTGATGTCAATGAAGAAAAAGGCTACTTCGTAAATGCCCTCGCTGCCGCCATCGCTGGTCGTAAACTTCCCCTCGTGCAGTTGGTTGTCGATGCCGGAGCAGACCTTAACGCTCGCGGACGTTTTGGCTTCCCGTTGCGGGCGGCCACGATAGCTAATCAGCTTGACATTGCCAGATACTTCGTTGATAGAGGAGTTGACCCCAATCTCAGAGGTGAAGACTTAGGCGACCCACTTCAAGCTGCCGCCTCTTCTGGGAACCTCGACATGATGCTTATGCTTCTGTCCCACAATGCATCTGTAGATGGTTGTGGAGGGCACTTCAGCAATGCACTACAAGCTGCCTGCTTCAATGGTCATGAGCAGGCCGTTCGGCTTTTGATTGATCATGGTGCTTCACTGAATCACAACGGCCGTTATCGAGACGCACTGCAAGCTGCCGTATACGGTGGCCATGAAAGGATTGTCGAGATCCTTCTCGTAGCTGGTGCTAGGCTCAACCCAGGACGACGTGGTAGGGCATATCTATGCGCCTTGGACGACTGGACGGAGAGAATTGCGTTACCGGGCACAAGAAAAAGGTGTGGGGAGCTGGACATTCCTACGGATCTAGGTCCATTAGAGGTCGCTGCTAGACGAGGCGACGTCAAATTAGTCGAACTGCTTCTAGCTAGAGGGGCAACTATCGACGCTCGTGACGCGGATGATCGAGACAATGATTATTATAAAGGGTGTGCGTACACCGCACTACAGATTGCGGCGTTTTGGGGACATCTCGCTGTGGTGGAGTGTCTTTTGGATCGTGGAGCCGATATTAATGCGGTACGACAGACACTTGGAACTCCATTGCAGGCGGCTTTGGAAGGGGGTCACCTCGATATTGCAGATGTGCTCTTGTCCCCGGGTGCAAGAATAGATAGGCATTGGGCCATGTTTGGATCCTGCTTACAGGTCTTTTCCGAGCGAGGGCATATTGAGACGGTCAGGTTTTTACTGGAGCGCGGAGCGAATATTGAAGATCGTGGAGGTGAAAACGGAAATGCACTCCAGGTAGCTTCCAATGCAGGCCACATTGACATTGTGAAGTTGTTACTTGACAGCGGAGCCAATGTAAGGTCGCCTGGACGGAATCTAGGCAACGCTCTGCAAGCGGCATCGTTGGCCGGACATCTTGACATAGTGAAGCTGCTAGTTCACAACGGTATAAGAGTGGACGAAGCCGATGGCAATTCTCAAACGGCGCTTTGTCTGGCTGCAGAAAAAGGGGACGGGTACATGATGAACTTTCTGCTCCAACAAGGAGCTAAAGTTGATGGCAATTCCATTCTGTCGTCCGGTGAAAGAGTCGGAGACTCAAAATCAGGCGGCAAGGTTGAGCGTGGCGACGACGTCATTGCAATACCATTGCATCTCGCCTCCTTTCGTGGACAAGAGTCTGCCGTCGCAATTCTTCTCCGCAATGGAGCAACTGTTCATGCCAAAGGAAAGCTGCGAGGGAAGGGATCGGGCCCATCTGATGAATGCGAATTCAGCAGACTATATTGCACCCCTTTGTTCGCGGCATGCTTTTGGGGTCATGAGTCGATTGCGAGGCGACTATTCCTATGCGACCCGTGGGGGTATGTGTCTCGTGACACATTCACATCTGCCGTGGAGACGAGCCTTGCCCGTAAGAAGGAGTCCACTTCAACAATGTTGGTTCAAGAAGCAATTCATGCAGGATTCAGAGCTGAACAACTTGACGGTGTGTTCAAGTATGCTTGTGCAGAAGGATACGCTGCGGTTGTGACACAGGTACTGGAGCATTGTAGTCTGGAACATTGGCCAGATGCAATATTGGTAGCTACAAAGCAGGGCAGGTGGGCCGTTGTCGAAGCTTTACTTCAGCATGGGGCTGACAAGGACTCCCGTGACGAACATGGCAATCTCTGTCTTGACATTGCCATTGAAAAGGTTAAATATTATCATTATACCTGGTGGAGTTCCAACCCACCAAGTTGGATTGAACTAGTCCGGATCTTGCTTTGTGCAGGGGCAGACTCAAACGATCTACCAAACAAGATTAAAGAAATCGCCCCCGACGTTGTACGAAGGGGGAGCCTTGATGTTTGGAAGGCATTGGACCACCATCAATATGAGGCGCTGAACGACCCTGAATTGTATCCGCAGTTCCTGATTTGGGCATCGGGGACCGGCGACCTTGATAAGATCAATTATATGGCTGACAAGTATGACCCTTCATTCGAGGATATTAAATCCGCTGTTGTTGCTGCGATCAAAGAAGTACGGAACAACGTATTCCCTGTCGAGGCACTGATGAAGCTCAAGACCCCAATATCCTTCGGCAGAAGCGGTGATGGAGATGACGATGGAGAGCCCTTAGTCATTGCGTCGAGAGAGGAATATGCCGAGATCGTCTCTGTTTTGCTTCAGTACGCGACACACAATTCTTCAACCGTTGAAGCGGCGTTAAAAGCCGCCATCAGACGCAACAATGTCGCCTGTGCTCGACTAATTCTTGACTCGCAATTTGACAATCCATCCGAGCGAATAGATGTATGCTCTCGCCTTATCAAATACTGTTTCCCGTTCAGCTCGAAACCCATGATCGAGTATCTGCTACAGCAAGGGGTATCCCCAAACATTAGGGACCCCCGAAACGGGAGAAACTCTATTGTACATTGCCGCCATGAAGAAGGACAGCAAAGGAGCCGACGTTCTTATCTCGCATGGTGCTGATGTTCATCCCATGGGAGGAGAGCATGGAACAGCGTTACATGCAGCAGCCGTCTCTGGGTCCTGGAAAACAGTGCAGTTGTTGCTTTCTGCAGGTGCAGATATCAATGCTCGGGGTGGGAGTTATGGTACGCCACTTATAGCGGTAATGGCACAGAAGTGGAATAAAACTTGCTGGCAGGCTAGGTTCAAACAACCCTGCAGTTTGGAATGTCATCGCTGCGTTGCGAGAGTGCTCCTAGGATGGGATGCGGATGTTGATGCTGAGGGCGGAGAGTTTGGGACGGCCTTACAGGCTGCGGAGAGGGTTGGTAATGAGGAGGGCATAAAGATGCTCATGGGGGATAAGGAAGCGATCGTGGGAGATCACAATGCGCAGGTTATTTACACGGACGATAGTGACTCAGAGGATTCAGATTGATGAAGTCTTCGTTTAGTTCATGGTTATTTTACTTTCTACATGTCTATATAGGTATTGCGCCTGTGCTATACACCAGGGTACTTGTCGGTAGCCACGGTAATGGTACTGGAGTTTATAATGGTCTTGCTATTAGTATGGATGTAATAAGCCGAAGCGACGTTGATTCGCAGCCAAAGGAACAATGAAGCGTGCTCTTCCATGTGCGGGTGAAGGCCCGCATCCATGGTGAGTTATCAGACGACATGGGGGTTCATTCATATTACTTGCATTCACTGCACCATCAGCTCTGACGATGTGCCTTTCCAGAAGCAGTCCAGAAGGTATCAATCCTAGTTACGCAGCCAAGTCACGGTAACGGACCTTGGTAACAGGGGATACTACTAGTTCCAGTCCTTTCTGAGACCTTTACAAGCTACCTCCACTCTAGTAATTACACCCGGCAAAAACCTATAAACTATGTGCTTACCAACCCGCGTTGTACAAAGTTGCGTCGAATCGGCCGAAAGAAGCAGACAAGCAGTGCCCTGTCCAAGTGAGGGGCCATGCGGGGAATCATTCTACTTAAGGTCCCCTGCCCACCCTTTGTAAATCAGCACAACTACAATCATCACAATTCCACAGCCAGCACTGTCCCATATCACAAAAATTGTCTACTAGGGGAGTACAAATAACAGTCTCAGAAAAATGCCATTGTATGAAATTGAGCACAGCATCCCCCTGGACAAGTCACAGCGCGATGACCTTGCCCAGGCCATCACCCACATCCACACCCGCAAGTTTGCCACACCTAGCTTGTTCGTAAATGTCCGCTTCATAGATGCCAGCACACAACACAATTATGTGGCGGGCAAGGAGGTGAGTAAATACCAGTTTTCTTCTACGAAAAGAGAAATGGTAAATGAACTTAGGACCTTTCGGTCAACGCAGCGTGCCATCAACCGCATCATGGCCTATGTTCGGGCGGGTGGAACACGAACAACGGCCGATTTCGATGACCTTTCCCAGCGTGTATCGGATGCTTGGGGTAAAGTTGTCAATAAGAACGGGGAGTCTCCCAAGGAGAGACAACTGAATGCTGTGTTTGTCTTGGGCGCAATTACGACGGGCACGGAGAACGGGTTTCTGTTGCCGCGGGTAAGAGATACTATTGCTTATATCCTCTACAGCTTGGTTTTCGTGTGGAAAACTGTGTTTTCTGGGTTTAGACTGATCGGATGTTAATTACAGGCTGGGGAGGATGCTAGTTGGCTCAAGGCTAATGCTCCGAAGTTCGAGGAGTTGGCGAAGCAGGGGGATGGTGATTTTGCTGAATTGGTTGAGGAGATGCGGAGTAGGGATGATCTGGCTGTTTGATTGCAGGAGTAACATGCATAATGCGTGGTTTTTGCGTGAATGGGAAGTAGTTAGGCAATTAAGCCATGTCTCCTCTGCTGGAGATATCTAGTATTACATATGACTGTTAGTGTAAGAGGATTCTTGTCCTAGATCAACACTCGGCCTACCTAGAACAACGAGGCATACATAACAATGGTCAGTGAGAAAGTAGTAAGACTGCCATATGTATTTGGTTTGTAATACAGATTTGAGTGGGCTGGTTGCTTTCAATCGGCCATGTGGGCCGTACGCTCTGCGGTTGACACTTTGCATGACGCCGTGGAATAGAACACTCTACCAAACACACCCAAGGACGTATTGAGAATGAGCATCTTGTATAGCTCAATGCTGACGCCTAAAGCGGCCGCGAATTTGGAACTCAGTATCACGCACTAATATACACTGTTCAACGTTCCAACTCGAGCTTCGCATATTGGTCGGTGAACTCTTTATAAAGCTTGTCAAGCGACAGAAGATTCAACGGATCTTTGTCATTATCCTGATCCATGAAGCAGAGCATATTGTGAATTTCGAATGTTATAGCCAACATATACCCGAGCTCGGCTTCCGCGAAAACCTGCTCTCCTGTATCCGAGTCACCTGTTTTCTCGTTCCACTGACTTGCATATTCTGCGCAAAAGTGCCTCTTTTCCTCCTCTGAGTAGGGTCGACAATCCGCAATCTGGCAATCTTCGTTGAACCACTGGAACATCTTTTGCAGAAAGTGTGCACCGATATCGAACGCCCGATAGTTGCGAAAGACGAATTCGAAGTCGATAAGAACCACTTCACTTTCTCCCACTTCTGGATTGTTTCTCACCAAGACGTTCATAAATTGAAAGTCGTGGATGCACCAGCCCTCCTTCGCTCCGATGGAAACCAGTTTATCTATAACCCGTCGCAGTCTGGACACAAAGTCATAATCCACGAGGTGGTCCAAACAGACACCCCCTTCATGAGCTAGTCTCCTCAGCTTATCCTTCCCATGATACTTGTCAAGCTCCCTAGTGACAGTATCATAGTACGTTTGGACTGGATTCCTTCTCAGCAAGGTCGTATCCATAGCATGGAATGTAGCAAGTGCTCTCGCAACATCGGCTCGGATCTCGGGATTTTCAACGTCTTGTGGTACCAAGGTACCTGCTTCCAAGTACTCATCAACCCTGCCGAAGATTCCATTCTCACTTTGGAAGAAGCCAAGCACTTTTGCGCCATGGCCAGATTGGCCGTACTCGTAGCTTAACTGCGCTTCTTCGTACTTGGTAGGAACTAGATGCTCGAATACTTCGATTTCCCCGTCAAGTTCACCGTGGATCTTAAGAAATACCTTTAATGGCTCCGAGTGTGATAGATCGCCTGTTGTGTTCGGTCGCTCCACTATACAGTTTGTATTTGCGTATCCGGTGGTGCGTGTCACTGTGAGGGTGTCTGGGTCCACATGTGGCCATTCGCGGGGAAGAAATGTGCTGATGATGGTTTTAGCTGTGGTCTTTGGTAATAGGCCATCGTGGCTATTCTTTGGGATTGTCACTGGGATGGTCGTGCACGATGCCATTTTGTTGGGGTGAGGGAAGTAGTGTAGTTATCGAATTATGGTAGCAAGATCTGAAAGATATATGTATTCTCTAAAGAGGCTGAAGCTTAGATAAGACGATCTGCTACTTTCTCTGATCGTCCAGCCATGGTGACATTGTGTCATGCCATTATTGGCTGAGAACATGGCAGTGAAGATAAGGCTGTGTACCTGGTGAGTCATCAGCGCAGCCGTCTGCCTAGGCAACAACCGTTTTTACTTTTTATTGTCGCCCTGCTTATGCTTGAAAATAATCATATATTTTCTCGATTTCACATATGTAACGCATATATATATCATTAGAACTACCATAAGTGCTACTGTGATAGTAAGAGATGCTCGGTCTCCTTAAGACTTGCAAGTGCGGCTTATTGAGAGCGTGACATTGCAGGGAAGACTGTACTCCGCATGGAGGTCATTGCTGTTCTTTCATGATAGGTTAAGTATCATCAACTAATCAGTCAGTCAACCTGAGATTGGCGCGCACGGGTGAAGATGCCTCGAGTAAATATAGGGTTGAGTGACCATTCTTGTATGTAGGTTTGGTATTATAGAATATCGCTCTCGTCAAATTTTTCAACAAGCTCCGCATTTATTAGGTCGGTTCGGCCGCGGAAACAGTCAGCCTCTGGGTGAGAGGAAAAGAATATATAAAGATGGCCAGTGTATAGGCTCATTGCAAGATGAAGTATAGTATATGCTCGTAAAAGATCAACCGAGCCCTCCCAATGTAAGAATGGCAAGAGAGTTGCCACTATCTAAGAGGTAAATACCAGCCCCTGCATGTAATTGATTCCCATATGTAGGGGACACTGCCTCTAACGCATTCACTTCGTCATTGCATAATCAACATAACCTCGTCTTGGTAGTATTCTCCTGCCGTAGGCAACCTCCCACCGTCCCACAAGATCCCCATATAGGCGATTTACACCCATATAGCTATCTTTTCCGATTAATGTAAGATAAGGATTGAAGGGCTCAAGGCTACTGCAACTATTACATCCACACACGACGCGCGATTAACAGGGGAAAATATCCCGAGAGCCTGGGCTCAAGATAGTATCAAATTTTCCTCGAGACAAGCGATACACTACATTTACGGCCATAATATTTTAATGCAGACCGGCAATAAGCTATTTTCCAATGAAACCTAGTATATAATCAGAGATATAGTCCAGCGGCCTGGGTATGGCGATGGACCGTCGCCTTAGATAGACCCATCGGGAAGCTAAGTTTTTGGACCGTAGGCGGGGGTTCGACTCTCGGTTTCTTTCTTCATTCTTTTCTTTCCTGTGGGAATGAATCACCTGCGTCATATGTGTGAATCATGATTGCAGTTATTTTGCCTCATAATTTGTACTGCCATCGTTGCGGTTACCGCCTATGTGTTCCCGTATCTAATGTCTGGTCATTCAAACTATGATGCTGGAATGACAGACTAGACTTTAGAAAGTTGATGGTAAACACCAAGTTGTCTTCTAATATATCCCTCGCAGTATCTCCTAGGTGATAAACAAGTGCACACAAATTCACATAGCCCCCGGGGTTGCGCCTACCTTATAGGGAACAATCCCAGCTATCGGAGTATGTGGTATGCCATTAACACCTATGCCAAGCAAGGTTTACCCAACACTAGAACATTATGACGTAGTGCAAGCTCAGCTATCGTGATAGGAAGATGAAGGAAATTCAGAAAGAGGTACCGGGGCATGTCCTGGCGACGAGCTGAACCCGCCATGGTCTCGGAACCAGCATGAAAGGCGACATGGGACATTCACTTATTAGACCCACTTTCCACCAACACACCTTGGCAGCTCTCTGTATATCCAAATATGTTATCTGCTTTTAAAGTACACATACATCAGAGCTGGAAAAAGGGATCTAAGAACCCGCCTACACGACGTCATAGTGAGTGCACCATGACCAAAAGGGATAGTTTCAATATTAACTGGTCGCTGCCCAGTCAATCCTAGGGTAAGCCTTACGATCGTACCCTTTATGAAGTAACTGCCTGGAATATAATTGTCTTTACTCTATGACTAGCTGCTCTGACAGCACTTTCTGTTAAAAGTAGACAGGGTCGGAGACTGCGGCTTAGAATTGGAGGTTGGAGACCCCGACTTGGCATGAGGATGTTACCTACGTGAACCTGTATGGCAATCAACAACCTTCAAATCCTACATTGTTCAATTAATGGAAGCAGAAGATTAGAATTCTATACAAAATACCATCTCACCTGTATCTCAAAGCCAAATCCCTACATCCACCAGCGGCTGGACCCTCGTTGGCACTGCTCCCGACGACGGCTCTGGGGCTCTAGTGTGGAAAGATGAGCTCGAGCTCCCCGAGCTTGGCCCAACTCATGTTCTGGTGAAGCTGCACGCATGGGCTCTGAACTATCCCGACATCTCTAGGAAGCAACCTCTCCATCATTTCACGACACAACTCTCATACTAACATACGTTGTAACCGCAGTCGCCCACCGCACCTTGCCCTGATCCCCAGCAGACCACGGCACGGGCAGCCTGATCCCGGGATCCGACGGCGCAGACGAAGTCGTAGCAATAGGCTCTCACGTTAGGCGCTTCAAGCCCACCCACCGCGTAATCGTTGTGTCGACCTGAACTTCCCCTTCGGCGCTGCACCTACCTACGCTCAAATGAGCGGCAGTCCCGGCAGCAATAAGGACAGCCCCGGCACGTTTCGGCGCCACGGGGTGTTCAACGAAAACGGCGGTCTGATGCATATGCCTGACAATCTCAGTTATAGTGAGGCGGCAACTCTGCCTTGCTCTGCGCTGACGGCTTGGAATGCTCTACATGGGGCTGAAGCCACTAAAGGCGGGAGAGTATGTTCTCGAGAAGCGATAGACTCGTATGATCGAGTAAGATATGATACGACCGTTCCAGAAGGTATGTCTTCTCATGAGCAGTTTCACATGATATACCCGCTCTCATCTGCTTTCGCTTTCAAGTGGATTATTTTCAAAACATCTATCGATATAAGGGCTCGTGTTGCCTTTCGGTCTGATATTGGCAGGCTGAATGAGTTTTTAAAGGACTAAGCAACAACAACAACAACGTGTCTGAGCCAATTTTATTTTCTCTGGCCTATCTAGAGATATCGCTTCTGGTCATAGCAGACTGCGTTGGAATTTTGAGTCCAACCTCAGACAACGGGGGTTCTCGATGGCAGAGACTTTGACTGCCACTGCCTTTTTGGATCAGTCGTAGACTAGCCATTATCAAGTCGTCTAATGGTCTACTATCTACGATCAATTTCTTGGTAGGGTACCTACCCATATATTATGTACTGTAGTGGACGAATGTAGCTAGTTCGGAGATATACTATCTGCTGGATGGTGCTAGAAAAGTGGCGAGAAACAAAAGATGAGACACGGATATGATTTCACTCAAGGCAACTCTCTGTGGTAGTCTCGAAAATTGCATATCATTTCCCGGACATGATTTATGTGATCGTTGAAGTCCGTTTCCATTATTTCTACAGTATTATCATTTACGTGGTACATTTTTGAGGCTCGATGGGCACGCTCAAGCTAAAGGTCAGAACATCATTCGGCTATATTTCGAGTTCAACACACTTTCCGAGGTCAACATAACATATATACCCCATCACAGTAAATCTATTTAGAGGTCATCTAACCTCAAAAGTTCTAATGTCTTGTATCAAAGCTTTCTTCCCCCTTGAGGATTGTATGCCCACGACCCATAGCCAGGTCCTTGCCCTCCTGATCTGGCAGGGTCATGTAGTCCAGCGATCTGACAGTCATCCGGATACTTACCCCCCTTCCCCTCCAATTCTTTGGCAAGAGCACCCCATACTGTTGTGGCTGCCCCTTGGGCTGTGTTCTTCCAGTAATGCTTAAGATACTTGTTCTCATCCCAGCTTGACTTCTGATTATCTGGGACATACTTGAGCAAATCAGTCGCAATAGCGCCGGGATGAATACTAAAGGCGTGTAGTTCCTTGCTACCAAAGCAGCAATTAATCTCATTTGCTGTCCAGATGTTGGCTGTCTTGCTCTGGCCGTATGCGACCTATGGCAGATACTCGCCCTGGAGATTAATGTTGTTGAAGTGGATACTGGAAACTATGTGCGCGCTGGAGCTAAGGATGATAACACGGGAGTGAACGATGGTGTGGCTGAGGCGACCATAACAGGCTGCAGGAGGTAAAATAAAAGGAAATTCGCGAGATGGTTGGTGCTAAATTAGGTTTTGAACGTGTCAGATGTTACTTTTTTTTGGATGAGCTATAGCTCCAGCATTCTTGATCAGGATGTTTAGCTTGATGCTTTTACTTATAAACTCTGTATTGTACTGCTGGATAGAAGTTAATGAATTAAGATCAAGCTTGAGCAGGTGTAATTACTTTGATTCAGTGAGGCTGTCTAGTACAGATTTTACTTTAGTGATATCTCGGGCTGTGAGGTAGAGTATTGTGCTAGTTTTAAAAAGAGCTTTAACAGTTTCAGCTCCCAAGCCGGCAGATATACCAGTTACTAATATAACCTTATCACTGCGTTGGTCCTTGAGGTCTTGGTTCTTGATAATCTGGCTGGCAGTCAGTCATGTATTACTAGGTTCTTTGAAGGACTTGTGAACGGCGGCGTATTAAGAAATTATTATGAAAGATATGATATCGAAAAGTGTGTGTGGTATGTCATTAACAATCCATTCTTAGTATTTATACGGTGTCATGAACTCTTGAGGTTCTATACGTCTACTGTATGACGTAGTGTTTGTAACCTTAAATCTGAGTTGTTAGTAGCTTTGGTAGCAGGAGATCTAGCAGGACTGAGTTCATAATCCGCTTTGTCCGTACACTAACTTTGTGTGGCAAGACACTGCAGTGGAGCCTGGGTGGAACGCATGTCCAAGGATACCCCACCCCGAAAATCTTCGGACATCGGTATTCTATGCTAGAATTTCCGGCACCTTCATCTGCGCGACTTTCCTACTTCCTTCACTTTCCGTGGATAAGCAACATTGAAGTCTATCCCGAGGGGCCGAGGTAGATTGTGACAGAGGTGAAGTATGCATTGGCCTAGACCCCACCATTAGAAGCGGATTGATGGGTTGATGACCTCGACACAAGCTTACTTGCTGACACGCCTAAGTCCGTATCTGGCCGAGCTTAAGTGATGGCATTAGGGAGTTTCTAATTTATTGACTCTCCCTCATCCCAGCCTGTCTTGATATCACACGTGGGAATCCATCTTCAATTGTGCCTTCTGCTCACTGCAATGTCCCTTCCAACCAGTCCTCTCGGCCGCGACGGGCCAGAAGTCACCCGTATCGGGTTCGGCTTGATGGGTCTCAGCTCTTACTACGGGGTGCCGCTAGCACATGAAAGAGGGCTTGACCTCCTGGATCAGGCCTATGCGCTTGGAGAGCGATTCTGGGATACAGGTACTCTCAAATCGTTCACGCCCCCTGCTGCCGCTTATGTCGGTGCTGACTGTGTCCCTCTAGCGGATGTCTACGGAGACAACGAAGACCTTCTTGGTAAATGGTTCAAGGCGAACCAGGACAAGCGCAATGGTGTGTTTCTGGCGACTAAACTCGGAGTTCGGGCAAAGCCAGATGGGACCATCGGCGCCGACTCATCGTATGAGTATTGTCTCGCTGCGTGTGAGCGGTCTTTGAAAAGGCTGGGTCTGTCGTTCGTCGATCTTTACTACTGCCATTGACTTGACAGCACGATGCCCGTTGAAGAGACGATCCGTGCTATGGTACAGTTGAAGGAACAGGGCAAGATTCGGTACCTTGGCCTGAGCGATTGCAGTGCCGAGTCTCTGCGGCGCGCGCATAAGATCCACCCGATATCCGCTGTACAAGTGGAGTATACCCCCTTCTCATTGGACGTGGAAAGTCTGCAAATTCGATTACTAGAGACTTGCAGAGAGCTCGGCGTCGCCTTGGTGGCGTACTCACCACTAGGTCGGGGACTGCTGAGTGGCTCCTCCGCTCGCCTAATGACTTTGACGAAGGGGTTTTCGTACGATGCTTCCGCGCTTCACAAAAGAGAATCTCCCGAAAACCCTTAAATTGGTGGACAAAATTACTGCTTTGGCTAAGGACAAGAATGTGACCACTTCCCAGTTGAGTCTCGCTTGGTTGCTTGCCCAGGGGCCGGATGTATTTCCAATTCCTGGAACCACTAAAATGGAGAGATTGAAAGAGAGCCTTGGGGCGTTGTCGGTTCAAATGTTCGTGGTTGATGATGCGAGGTTTCGACGTGCTGTGAATGACGCCGATATCCAGGGTGACAGGTACCCGGAAGCTTTTTCGTCCACCCTGTTCGTAGACACGCCACCGCTTAACTCTTAGATTGTGTCGCAGGGGTAATAATACTTAATATTATTGATTTGAGCATGATCATATTCATTATACCTATACTTGAAGATGTAGTACAAAGCTATGGAGCCACGAAATATTGAAGAAGTGTGCTATCATTAGTACAGATGATCACCTTGGCTAAACAGTAATTGCGCTTCAAGAATTTGATACCGAACATTCTGATACTCCTCTCGGAGTAGATTTTAGACCTTACATTCAATTACAGGATCTTGTCACTTCTTCAACTAGGCGATTGGCCGTCATTGCTGCAGGATCCTTCCAATATCTACTTGCAGAAGGTAGCTTTCTGTATACATTGGTTCTGCTACAGCTCTCTAGCTTTTCCACGATTTTACTCGCTTGTCTCCAGACTACTTGTCGTGGTGACAGTCGAGGGCGAAAATTGGATGATCACGCAGCCGGTTGCGTCCTCGGTCAAGGGAATAGGTAAACCGCAGCCCATAGCACCGGAGCTGATGCGTCACATTTCGAAGTATTCAGCGCTCTATATGGTGGGGAGCCCTTGGGAGCCCTTTGCGCATTATGCCATCCTGAACTCGGACGTGCGAACTGTGGAGGCCTTCCAACACCGCGCTAGCTTTCTGTCAGTTCCTTCCTGCCTGATAGTACATTCCACTGATCGATGTATTGTACATGTATGGGGTCTCAACCATCTTTGGAATGGAAAAGCGCCAGAGAGTCAATCAAAGTGGTGCAGATTGTACTGTAATTCGCCAACGGCCTGGGTGGGCTCTGAGCTTACTATTCTCAGGGTTCACCGCTCCAGCCCCGTAATCCCGAAAATCATCGGGGTGGGTAACTACTGTCCGCAGTTCGGAGTTAACCGGAGAATAATGACGTTGCAGTGTCACTCGGGCTACATATATATTGGGGTCAAGACACTGCTAAATGAATACCCACAACACATTGTTCGTGCATACCTCTGTTTATAAACTATACATACCCCCGTTAGCAAACATGTCTGAAACCATGAAGACTGTCGCCATCCCCGGCATTGCCTGGGACATTGCCGCAGACATCTACTTCCCACCAAATTTCGATCCCAAGTTGAAGTATCCGGCCGTTGTTTCCGCTCACCCAATAGGCTCATGCAAGGAGCAGACCTCGGGCAATGTCTACGGAAAAGCTATGGCCAAAGCCGGCTTTGTCGTTGTGGCGTTTGACGCCTCATTCCAGGGCGCCTCAGGTGGCACGCCGCGGTTTGTTGAAAATCCGGAATTCCGCGTCTCCGACTTCCGCTACGTGGTCGACTACATCCAAAAGTCGCTTCCGTATGTCGACGACGAACGCATCGGCGTCCTCGGCATCTGTGGAGGCGGCGGCTACGCCCTTAATGCAGCCATGACTGATTACCGTTTCAAGTGCGCCGTCGGCGTCACACCTGCCAACTTCGGGCGCCTCGCCCGCGAATCCTTCGCTCAATATGATCCGGTTGGCGCTCTCGCGAAGATGGCCCAGCAGCGCAAGGCTGAAGCCCAAGGCGCGGACCCCTTTGTGCTCAACTACCTACCTTTCGCGAGCATTGAAGAAGCCAAAAGGGCTGACATTGACATGCGTGAGGCATTTGAATACTATAAAACTGATCGGGGCAAGGCATCTAATGGCTGTGTGAGCGGCTTGTTTTCATTTAATAGCGCCGCAGTCGCCTGGGACGCCTTTGCATTTGCTGAAAAGATCATGACACGCCCTTTCATGGTTATTGCTGGTGATAAGGTTGGTGCGTTCGGAGCTTACCGGGATGCGCAAGATATTTATGCGAGGGCGGCCTCGAAGGAAAAACATCTGGTTATCCTGCCGGAAACCTCACACTACATGCTCTATGACCACCCTGAGGCTACCAAGCTCGCGCTCGATCAAATTTTGCCCTTCTTGAAGAAACACCTTGGCGAGGCTGCGTAGATCTCTCCGGGAAGTGGCATTCTAGCAGGCTTTGTTGGGTTACGATATTGTCAAATAAAATACAAAGCTCCACGAGCTGTGGTCAAATATTATCACTCATCTATACCGACTGAGTTAGGTTGAATGAACATGCTTTCGCTTCTGCTATTCATCCTGTCATATTACCACACTATATTACCATGCATAGGTACGGGTTAACCCTTTTGTTTTAGCGGTAAAATCTTCAATACATCCTTCTTACCCTGCCAAGCGCTGTCAATCAGCTTGTGCGAGATGTCCACAAGGGCCCGCAAAAGGGCCGCAGAAGTTTAACGGCTTACGAGAAGTATCTGAAGACCAGAAGGAAAAAGAACTCAGTGACTGAGGAGTACAAGTAAGCGCAAGGCGTGTCTTAGTGAATCTTTACCTGTATCGAGCGCCTCATCCCCGATCTCGCTAAGCTCTTCGTAAACAGATCCGAGTAGACCAACTGTTGATGCTCACTTACTCAAAGCAGTTCATCGATACAAGCTCGTTGCGTCAAAGTCCAGAAGTCCCGTCCTCTCAACTCCATCTTTCTGATTTCGTCAGATCAAGGAATTGGGCTAGTAGAAGCAGTACTGGGCTCCATGGGCTCCATCAGCATGGATTCCACTGCGTGAACAGCACCGAACCGGAATATTTCCTTCGGTTGAAGGAGGTATGACCCGAGATTTGCTGACCCTATTAGCATTGAACTGCTTGGCTAGTAGGCAACACACCTATCTTAATATAACCAGCATTCTTGCCTGAAGGGATAAGTTCACGTCGCTGTTATAGAGCGATTGTCGAAGTTGGCATAATCCATAGGGAACCTGACGTGTAAGTTAGCGTAGAAGCTATACCACTAGACAGCTACATTAGCACAAATTTATTCGATGTATATTTTTCCTCCAATTGCATGTGCCGTCGAGACTGGCTCAAAGATATTTCCGTCTCCTCATAAACTAGCAATAAGTCACCTGCCTGGATAAATGTGGTCAATAGATCCACCACGCTGGCATGGAACGGCTTCATAAGACAATGTTATATATTCCCGAAGCTTACGGATTCCCGCTTAATAGGTACCATTTGCTTTGGGCTAATATCATGATATTCCAACCATGTATTCCTAGGTTCGTCGCTATATCCAAATTGGATGCGCGATGCCCGCAGTGAGGCGCTTGTGAACGAGAGAAGACTATTAACCATCAGGCTGCTCAAAAGGCATGCTGATGCTTTTAGTAGACAGCGGAAGCCGTGGAGGTTTGAAACATGGCCCCAGTCTCTGTACTTTGTTAGATATCTTCCCTCCATAGGCCAAAGTCATAGCTGTACTTCATTGTTTTCCTTTATAAATGAGGTGAAAGATACACTCTGCGAAGTCGTAAGCGATAGTATATTGTGACCTGGGTCCGGGTAAAGGGTACTGCGATAGTGACAGGCTTATTTATGGCGAGGCCATATACCGATGCGAGGACGGCGAAGGTGAGGAAAGTCCTGATAGCCATGTTAGTTGGGATACCGAACCCTCAGAGAAATGCTCTCATCTTTACTGCAGATGAGCAGGACTAAATATACTTCAGTTCCACTGCCAGCCAGGAATATGACACCGAAGGTGCGGGGATATGAAAATACTCCATTTTAGGTTGCGACGTCCTGCGCGTTTGGAAGCAGAAAGTTAGTAGTGCAGCTCCTGGACTGCCTCACTGTTTGCCCAAGATAATGTTCAAGGGAAGGACACATACACTGTGGCACGCACCGCACGCCAGGGAGCGAATTAGAAGTCCGTTCGGTTGTGGCTTTGGCACGTCGACTTCTTGCAGTGCCCAGGATGCTCCAGGGCCGTCTAGAGCAACTGCTCTGCATCTAGCAGGGATGGATTTGGGGAATGGACATGGTGGCTGTTCTGCCTTGGTTGTTCCGCTTTGACGGGGCAAAAGTAAATGGACAGTTGAATACAATGCGTCTGAACACTGATGGGCTAACAGAAAAATTGATGTTCACTCAACTCTGAACTTTACTCACGACATTTCTTGTCTTTATGTAGCTGTTTGCTATACATTGGCTGGGTCTATGACATCAATGTTGGGCATGCGGCGCATGCGGCCCGCATGGGCCGAGGGGACAAGGATGCCAGGGAAAGATCTATATCCTGCCTTGGCTGAAGTATCCATAGCTGCATATGAAATCATCCGATTATTGTGCATGGCGTGTGGTATGTGGGATTATCGTTCACATCCTTGGCTCTACTACAACATCAATGTTGTCTGCGGATGTAGGGAAGAAGGTGACTAGCTCATCATTGCAACTGGATAAATTAGTTTCTACCCTTCTGGAAGAGCCTACCCGGCCAGCAGCGCGCCCAGCGGTCAGAAAGCGCTTATCTTTGATATTGGAGACCCCAATTCTTTCCAGGCTTCCAGCCGGGTAAACTCTCAATAAGAACTACGATGTCCACAACAGGACCGACTTTTACATGACTCCTTGGCCACCTACATTATGCAGCGACCGATAAAGGCGCCTTTGACTATATCTAGATACTCTCTTGTCTCCAAGAACAACCCTTACCACTGTTGCAGCGGTTGTCTCTATCATACCGCCAGAACAATATCGGCATATACCTCTCCATTGATCCCCAATGTGTGACATGGTCGCTCAACTTCTGAAGCAATGGATGATAATCGGCATTACTGGACAGTAATAACTTTGCGCCTAGTTTTAAAATGACAATATGAAAGGGGATAGGACATATGTCTCCTTTCAGAGCGCAAAATTCTGTGCCAATTACCCATGTGTGTTGGGGCCTACTCTCATTTTGCTACGACAAGGCTGTCAGCTCGCCCACGGTGCGGCGTCGGATACAAATTTCTGTGTTATTCCGATAGCCTCCTCGACACGATCCGGGCGCAAAAGCTCCCATTCGGATATAATATTTGTAAGGTTGCATTCTAGAACGAGGTGACCTATAGATTCTGAGTGGTAGATGCAATATCCCGAACTAGGTTTGTGGTCTTAAAAAGACATACAGATATACCGCACGTCTGACGCCATCTACCAAGGCGAAATCTTAGTATGTAGCTTTCAAAGGACTAGTTTGCTGCTCGGGTAATTCTAGCTTTGGATTGATTATCCGATTCTTATTTTGTTCGGGCGGCTTCTCCTAGCACCGAGTCAGCGCTTATAATACCCTTGCTGCAGTTTGGATTGCACTCGTCCGTACCGGGTTCCCTACCTTATTTGCCGCTGCTTTTGTAGGTTAAGAACTCTAGCAATTTAATAAGAAGTGGACCAATTGGCCTAGTGGTTATGGCGTCTGTCTTACATAAGCAACATAAATGTGAACACAGAAGGTCGCAGGTTCGATCCCTGCATTGGTCAATCCTTTTTTGCCATTCCAGAGACATCTTTGTCCTCGTCCTTCTTATAAGGACTATTAGAGGACGGCAAGGCGTGGTAATCATGGCCCTGCAACAACGGCCGCTCGCTCTTTATATATTCTGTATGGTATCATCAAGCTTTTTGAGAGCATAAATCAGAAGACGTTGCCCTCATCATTGGATACCTTCCATTCTGTCATACTCGCTGCGGTCCAAGAATACATCTAGTGTGACAACCTGAAGAATATGCTGGCTCACCCGGTTAAATAACTAGAAGTCTGTGTCTTTCACGAAAAATTATAAGTCTAGAAGAAAGAGAGGAAAACTATCTACTCCCCTGGGATCGAGCATCTCTATATATCTTTGGGACTCAATACCTGTGCGGTAGATTCCTCCTATTTCTGTTAATTCCCTCGCTAACTTTCTTTCTAGTGATCCGGCTCTTCCCATGGGCCTCTAGGCCTGTCCCGTTTTACCTCCTAGTAAGTTCTGTTTCTTGATCTATCTCTGCGGAAGTTGCCATGAGCAATGCTTGGATACTGGTAGGTCACGTGATACGGCATGGGATGACCCGGGTCTCCCATTAAGTAGATTGTGGCCAGAGGTGCTTCATGATTCAGAGAAAATTATCCAATTCCAGAGAATCGACCGATTCGATGCCGTACATTACCGCTGTCTATAACACGACTGCGTTGTGGCAAGATACCTCGTACAGCGTCAACGCTTGGTACAGCTATGGCGCTCTGAAGCACATCATTGAGGGTCTGCCTGATGGAATGCTGCGTCGTAGTGGCCCCTTCTTTGGACGCATTCTCTTTACCATCCAGCAAATTACCAGTGGCTATATCTGGCCCCCCACCCTGTCCTGCACTCCCACCTCGAGGTGGCCGTGTATCCAGATCTGGCCGGAGCGCGTGGAGAAGGACTTCTATGGCTTGAGATAGTTCACGTTCGTCACATCATTCTGAAGTGTTCGGAACTATCATTGACGGTTGTAGTTGTCTGAAAATGATAACATGACATTACGTAGGCATGATAGCGCGCTGTAAAAATCGGGCAGTCGGTGGGGCTTGAGTTAGACGATCCTTCAATCAACATACTATGTTTTTGCTAGATGTGTGAAGCTGTGTTTTAGCTTAGGAGTATGTACTATGCTCTTAGTCCGATCAAAAATTCGTTCTCAAATTATCGGAAAAGTAATTCAGGTTATGATAATCATCAAGGTAGACATAGTTCGCGTCTACGTGAATAATCTGGATAAAATAATGGAGTGGGTATAGTACACAAGAGGAAATAAATCTGAAAGACAAATATGCTGAGTAAGTGGTTCGTAATTGTCAAAAGGCCACTCAAAATTATATAGAGTACCCTTGATTCGGGTTCTTCCTTAATCTGATTGAGATTGAGTTTAATCGCATCAGAATAGCCACACGCCAAGCCCAATGCTTTCAGAAAACAGGATGAACCGTAAAGGGGTAAAACATTCGGCATGTTGCTCGTCCTACAGTGGTTACAGTGGATTCTCTTTCATATCTACAGGCTTTTCCCTTCCGGATCCAAGGCGCTTCGGTAGGCAACGACTAAAGGGACCATGTTTGGCTTCATGACTCCACCGAAGTGGATACTGTACCATTTTACTACTTGTTCATCCACACAAAGATCAAGAATGCCGTTATTAACCTTCAGGTACCCGGTCATCCGAGACACCCATAAGCCTAATACTTCCGCCCAATCAAAACATCCCGCCTACAGTCAGAACTGGATGGTTAGCACGAAAATCCCACAACCTTACTGATAGAGTGAAACTCTACTCCAAAGGTAATAGGTAAGCCTAGATACCGCATTACTACACTTACCCATGAAATCACATGGATGTGATGAAGAAGTTTGCTTAGTCTCAACATGAGTCTATCGGCCTCGGTTTGTCTCGGTTTGTCTCGGTGATTGGAATATTGTTGTTGTGGACCACTCGGTTCTCTTGTCTCCACAAAACACAGCAAAATGAAGGGCAGATTGAGCCTTGCCAGTGAGCAGAGTTGCCTTTACTCCGTGGTGTAAGAGGAAGCGTGCAGTCTCAACTTCTTTGTTAGACATTGCAAATAGTAGCGCCGTGCTTTTTGTTTCTGGAGAGACTGAATGCTCCACCATCAGGAATTCCAATATATCCTTCTTTCCTGACTTTGCTGCCACAATCACGAGTGCTGGGATATCTGCACGCTCCCTGAATGTGATGGGTCCCTCTTTTAGCATCATCTCTAGCATATTGCGGTGTCCTAAGCAAATGGCCTGTTCAAGGATTATCTGCACCTGCCTTGGAGAAAGGTAGACCTGTGTCCCCTTATTCAAAAGGGCCTTAATCAAGTCAGAGTATCCTCCTTTGACTGTATACAACAACGGCGCCAGAAGCTGATTTTCTGAGGTAGAACTTTTACTGTCCAAAGAACGCTGAGGGTTAGCATCGGCATCGGCATCAAGAAGTGATACGACCCTGCTATTTTTCGCAACGTCCCAGTCTTCACGTCGTGGGGAATAAGGGCATAGACCCTTTGCAGCGCATAGCAGTGGTGTTTTCATATCGATATTTTTTGGGTCTGGATCAACGTTGTTTTCCAACATGAGCTTGACAATTGAAATCCGCCCGAATCGAGCTGCAGAGAAGAGAGCTGTCTCCTGGCGCAGATTTCGATGCGATATCTGCTCCTTTCGCCAAGAGGGCTTGTACTGCATATTCCTTACCACTCTCAGCAGCGTAAAAGAGCGGCGTGTTGCCCTTATCATCTGTTTTATCAACATCCAGGCCCATGTCGACCAATTCGTCGATGACTGAACAGTTTCCATTTCTAAACGCAGGGAACAAAGGGCTTTGCATGTACTTGTTCTCGATTCTCGGGTCTGCCTTGAAGCGTCGAAGGCACTTCAGAATTTCCGTGTCAGTTTGGCCTGCTGCGAGAAAGAGAGGAGACTCGTGTTCTTTATTCAAAGAATTCGGGTCTGCCCCATGCTCCAATAATGCAACGACCATCTGTACATTGCTTTTCCTGGTGGCATGGAAGAGAGCAACCTCTGCGTTTCTATCTTCAAGATTCGGATCTGCACCACATCTGAGTAGATGCAGTGCAGCTTCATTGGAGTCATGCATGATCGCATACGCCAGCGGGCTATTTAGATCGCTATCATGAGCATTCAAATACGCACCAGCATTTATGAGCGCCCTGACTATATTGACAGAACCTCCCTTGGCAGCATAGTGGAGAGGCGTAAACCCTGAACTACCCGTGATATTGACTCGAACGCCTCTTCGAAGTAACTCGTTGACTATGTCTTCGTCGTCAGATGCCGCTGCGTCGCAAAGGAGTGTGTCTCCCAATTCATCTTGCACGTCGGGATCAGCGCCTTGCGCTAATAGAAATTGTACTGCCTCAATCTTTCCAGACCTGAATGCATGCGCGAGAGAAGTCTGGCTATCGTTATCGTGAAAAGCATTTCCTTTGCACAAAGAGCAGCAGAGGCGGCACCCAGTTGATCAAGGGGCAGACAAGCAACAACAACTTTTGAATTTACCGATAGATCCCAGCAAGTACGAGTTACTGTCAGCTTTGGATGGTGGCATTTGCGGATTGCCGTGCTCCTCGTCAAGCATTGCTTTCGCCGCGGCGAACTCCACTGGCAGCGCACATATCCATCCCACAGTATACTCTTCGTTCGAATAAGGGACTGATCTTCATTGGCCATGATCTGTGAGGGAGCAGTAATAAGAACAGAACCAGATTGTTGCAGTAAGGTATAGCAAGCAGGGCGCATAGACGTGTTCAAAGACTTTGGGGGTAGAAACGAAGTTGGCGGGCTCATGTAGCAAGCCCAAGGAAGACTTCTTCAGTAAAAGAACAAGGCTTCAGCCGCAAACCCCAATTTCTTGCGGTGTGGTTCACTATCAAGCATATTGGGTGTTTTCGGGCAAAGCGACGCTAGTGCTGCTACCTAAGATCGCAGCCTTGCAAAAAGCGGGATACTTCGGAAACATGGACTGGGTTAGCATTTCAGGCTAGCTTCCAAGTCATCGATAATTTCACTTGCTAAAGTCTTACATGTACTTCAACATGTCTAAGCCGGATGAAGTGGAGAAGGGCTCTGCTGTGAACCGCCACCAAATAACATCTTGCATTGCTTTGGGGGGCCTCGAAACAAAGATAAGCCTCGTTGCAGCTCATGTAATATGAAGAAAAAGTAACATCAAAAGGGTAGACAAGGCTACGCATGAGATATGTGTTATCCCTGTAGTATTATTGGTTGATTCGGTTGTGATTTTCTGAGAAACTGCAGGCAGTCACCTGGCAGTTGACGTGTACTATCAGACACCACACTGGCAGGGATCTAGGGAGTAATCCCTAGCCATAGTTGCCCTTAATGAGGGATATTTCTCCCACTGCAAGTTCTGTGCCTGTAGATGGAAGCTCCGGGAACAATCAGCTGAGCAGCGATTATCGAATCGTGACCGAAATGTGAACATCGGAGTAAAGTAGCCGCGGATAAACGACCAATCCTCCCAAAAAAGCGAGCTTTATAACTAACAGTATGGCGACACAACAACAACCGGCATACTGCATACACTGCATGCTCGCAGTCTTCAGCTACTTATTTATCAGTCTATCTTTATAATTTAGTTCAAAAGATAGTAAATCTTATGCATAGATTGATGTTAGTAAATATTCGAATAAGTAGCCATGTTAGATAGATAGTATTAGTCTACTGTGTAGGACTACCCAATTCACACAGTCTTATTTAAGACTAGTAATATTACTTTTATATTACTTTCTGTTCTGTTAACCTATGATTTCTTAGTATTCATCATTATATCATCATTATAATATTATTGACCAAATGTTATTTTAATCTTATTCCCTATTTCATATTATTCCAGTACCTATCATGACTCATTTTGCTATTTTTCTAATGATCAATTTTTAGAAAGAAGAAGCTCTAACTTCTCAGGCCCAACCTTGTATAACAAGATATATATTCCCTGATCTTTCCAGAGTGATTACATGTCTATCTCTAATACATCTGGAAAGCCTGCCGCTTGTTGTCGAAACAGCTTAGGCAAATACTGTACATGAAAAATCTTTCACTCTAGACAGTAATGATGACCGGGTGTGGAAGAACCTCTCCAACCGAGACGAAACCGAGACAATAACTTCCCAGCCTTGTGCTCTATCATCCCCAGTCAAAGACATTTCGAAAACTTACCGGTATCTTCTTAACTCTCCACTAGGCCCAAGGTCGCGATAATCTTCAAGCGTGGAGTGGAAAATATACAAGCCCAGGGGTCTTCGCGTATTGTGGACGGGATTCTAGAAGCCATCAAGAGCTATGGCAGTTTTCGACCCCAACCACAACCGCTCTTACCCCCTGCTCCCCCCGCTCTACTAATAACAACCCATCCCATCCGCATCCCAGGCCACTGCAAACTACCCCAAGGCACCCACCCACCCCGTCTAGGTCACCGATTGAGAATTGAATAACCCCGAATCCGTAATCTTATATTTCTGGGTACACGATCCAGCACGAACTAAACCAGTTCTTCCGTCGAGAAGACGATCACATCGGTTTCTACACCTTCTTCCAGCTCGATCGGACGAGCGCAACTTCATCCACCCGTATATTCATCGTCGGCATAGGGAGACATTTGGTGAGCTTCCATAATTTTGGAAAATGAGCAAACAAAGTATAAATGTGGCTTTTTATGCATTCAGCAACGAGCTTGGGGAAAGGATATCAGTGGATGACATTTGTAGTCATTAAGGAATATATACACAATATACTATATACACATATATTAGTTGGGCGAGACCCTCATTCTATGGTAAGTGGTCCGCGTCACTACCTTCAGGCATCAATACACAACCTAGACTATTTAGTAAATAAACTGTCGGAACGCTAACCGCTAGACCAAAAACGATATATCGCGCCTAGTCAGACTAGCGACGGAGAGATTACTGTCTCAACATAAACTACCTGCGTTCAGACCACATTGGAATGTTTGCGGCGACAGCAAAGATGCTCATAAATCAAGCCCTCAGTGATCGGCCGTCGGACACTAGGATGATTGGCGCAGAGCACGCTTATGCATGCTGCCAAGGCAGACTCACATCCGGGCGGACAAGGCTGTATGTAAGACAATTTGCCAGGCTTCCACCACTAAAGCCCTGCTGCCTAAATTTGCGGGGTAGGTGAAGGGTGTTTAGGACAGCGCACGACCAATATCGACATTCCGAAGGCGCAATGAGGCTCTCTTGTTGCTTGTGATTGCAGTCCAAACAAACCCCGAAGACTGGCGCATGTCACACCAGTCCATCCTGTCGGGCTTCAAAGGGACAAAATGGGTAGCAAAAAGAATGAGGCTCAAAATACTTTTCATTAGAGCACTTCATAAAATACTGCATATAAGTCACCTTCGGCAAATGCACCAATATTGCATGGCATCCTCCTCATTTGTCATTCCTTGAATCAAACCTTCCTATGAACTTCAAAATGCTGAGTAGCTCTACGAGTAAGTCAGGTTTTATTGGAGTTTATGCGATATGAAGCTCACTGAGTATATTCTCTTCAGTCCAAACCGTCTCTCCAGGCTCTCTTTGCGATATATTTAACCTCTATCAAACAAAGCCAGATAATAGGGGTCGCGCATCGTGGACTAAAGAAATCCCTGAAAATCTGGTCGAACCGGCCGAGGGCGCTGAATCAAGCTCTTACGCGATCATTGTGAGAAACATCAAATGTTACGATGGTCGCAAGAGTCTTACAATTCATTCAATTGTACTGCAAAGTGAACCGCTCAAGAAGTTTCTCACTCCTGTAATGGCGGGATATCCAGGACTTACGATGAGCCTGGACCGAATCGAGTTCAGCACGCCATTCAAACCTTTCGTTCATCGCTGGGAAAAATTCACAGCCGCTCGAGAGAGTGAACAAGATTCGACGACCAAGGCACATGTCGACCTGCTGTATGGGCTTCTAGAAAGCGAACTACATGATACTATCTCCAGGAAGTCCGATCTTATCTCAAACGGTGTCGTGACTCACGCCTTGCTTTGGACCCTTTTCCAGCCAGGTGACATCATTTTTAGTGTCTTGGATAATCGACCCCGTGCTTTCATTTGTGGAACAGGTGATACGGATTGTCGAAGCGGTAAGTTTGAACTGAACGGAAAGTACATCGACTTTGATGGTGACAAATTTGGGTTTTCAACATATGAGTTCCAACTGGAGGCATTCGAAGGAACATGCCCTATCACGGATTTGTCTGTAGCACCCCTGGCGTATCACGAAAACAGGGATGCAATTGAGAAAGAATTATTATTGCGTGGAAGCCTCTGGGAGAGCCTGAGAGGATACCATTACAAGCAATATGATGGAGTCGGCAAGGGATACCTTTTCGGTCGTGAGGTAAAACTCAACATCACAAGTCGCATCGTAATTGACACGGCGGCATATATCACGTTTAATCCGGACGAAGAATTTCAGTTGTCAAATACCATCGCGGCAGATCTTTCCGAGGTTCAAAGGATGATAGCCACACCAATGTTGCGTGGTTATGCTCTCAAAGACAAGAAATGGCTCGAGTTCTTTGTCGACAATGTCACAGACATTACCTGGAACGCGCAAGCGTTTCAATCCTTGGTCCTGCCAGACAATCAGCAACATTTGAAGAAACTCATCCTTGCCGTTGCCAAGTCGAAGTCGAATGGTCTTGAAGTTTTTGATGATGTCGTCCAGGGAAAAGGACGTGGCGTTATTATGCTTCTCCGTGGTCCTCCCGGAGTGGGCAAAACTTTGACGGCTGAGGGTGTTGCAGAGGTCATGACAGTACCTCTATACGTTTTGAGTGCGGCAGACCTTGGTACAAGTCCTTCAAGAGTTGAAGAAAGATTGAAGGACGTTCTCTCTATTGTTCCCAAATGGGGAGCTGTCCTTCTCCTTGACGAGGCAGATGTTTTTATGGAGGCTCGCAATTCAGCTGATCTCGCGAGAAATGAGTTAGTTTCCATATTCCTTAGGGTCTTGGAATACTATGAGGTAAGATATGAAAGTCCTCTCGCTCTCCTGCTCGCACAGTATCTCACAGAATCCAGGGGATTCTATTTCTAACCAGTAACCGTGCCGAAAACATGGACCCGGCATTTGAATCCCGAATTCACGTGTCGATTTGCTACCCGGAACTTACTGAGAAAACGAGACGTCAGATTTGGATGCAGTTCCTGGCTGCTCCAAACGTGGAAAAATTCTCCAACGAACAGCTTGACGAAATTGCGAAGTTGGAGTTGAATGGCCGACAGATCAAGAATGTGCTCCGAACCGCCCATCTGCTTGCCCAAGAGGAAAACACCAGCGTCGGCTATGAAGATGTTCAAACGATCCTGAGTTTGAGATCCGTTTAGCACCACCATGGTCAATTGAGTATCTGCTTTCTTTCGTTGAGATATTTCGAACTTGCAGCTCTCAGTCTTTCACATACTGTAGTGCGACAATTTTGAAATTCATTTCTTTTTGTTTTTTTCGTTTTCACTTATTTTCCTTTGGTTTTCTTCGTGAGACAGTGCAACTGATGGCACGGATGCGATGATCACATGGGCCTTTCCTCCCAGCTTGCGCATATATTTCCTCAAGAGCCCACTTTACGAAAGCTTGTTACGTACTTCGCAATGATATATGTTTAGGTGATGAACTAAGTAACAATCCTCAAGCTTGCACACCTAAATCTTCCGTTGATTTTTGGTTAAATTACCAGACTAGACATCTAATCCTGCATTGTCATACTAATTGCTAGGAGACTTAGATATATAGGACTATCTAAAACTTCTTAGATATCATAAAATCTATAGAAATATTCCTGAAATTATCTGTGTCGTTCTTGAGATAAATTCACTTCTTAGTTTAAGTAATATATGGGAATATCAGAGGAGTATATGTATAAGTACTAGCTGTGAAATCTATAATCAGATTTTACTAGAAGAGGAATAATAAAGAATTGCACTATAGGATTAGATAAATGCGATGCTATGGCTGGAGAAATCCAGGTGTCGTCGGAAGGGATACAAAAATATGCAACAGTGACTGCAGGACGCAGTTCCTTGAGCAGTGCCGGTGGCTTGTTAATCAGTCTTTCTTCGACAGTCGCTCATGCCATAGTACCATTAATAGGATTATAGGAGAATCCTGGTTCACTTCCTGTTGTGAGCGACATAGGTGTGCTTCGAAGTATCATTGAAAGTGCTCCGGATGATGTGCACATGTGGTTATATCAGGGAATTATGAGTATCTAAAGCTCTGTTTTCCTATAACCATTCATTAATTCCCGCTTCAACAGAATGCGATCCAGAGACAATCTTCTACAGTAGACCGGCAGTAGTAGATCTACATATATCGACAAATCACAATAAACACACCAAGGCATTACCCTGGGAACCACTACCTATCCACGTCCCTAACACCCAATGCCACCGCTCAACTTACCAGGCTATGCCTAATGTAATACTCCATATTATCTTAGATCTATATGTGAAGAAGTAGAAGCAAGTCCAGCTTCTTCTATGTTACTTAGCAGCATTGACTCACTCCGCCGGCTGTCTTTGGGGGTTTCAGTTGCTGTCTCCTGCCGGCTAGCTCAAGTACTGATGTTATTTGGCTCCATGAAAATAAAATTTAAACAGAGTAGGAAATGTATAAACTTAATAGCTGATGTGTCAGGGTACTAGACCAATTAGAAGATTAGAAGGGTACTCATGGTCTCTCTTTGTGCATGATTAAAGAAATATCCAGCAATCAGGAAGACCCGTCCGCCTGCGGAAGAAAGAGGTAGGCTCATGTGATAGGATCTACTTGTCATGGTAAAAAGCCTGTTGGCTAGGTAAGGAATCAACCATGAAATACTCTAGACTTATATAATGATATAACAATAAGAAAGATAGTCTATATCCAAGTAATAAACTGGTCTTTGCGAGATTAGTAGCCTGATAACAAGCAATTTTATAAAATATATTTATAATAAATGAAAATTTAGTAGCTTCATATAAATAAAAGAAAGAATTCAGTTATTTTATCCTCTTTCTCTATATCTCTTTGTTGATTTATTATATTATTTACTATTCTTTTATATTTATGTTCATTCTCTTTTTATTATCATAATATAAATTGCGATTCCTCGATCTATCCAAAGGGGTTAGATTTGGCCACCGTCACGATGGCTACTCTCACGCACCCCTCTCCTAACCTCCGTCCCGTTCAATCACCATCCTTGTATGATTTCTCATCGACTCCAAGCGTACCCATGGCTGCATGGACCGGTATTTCCGGTGACAAGTGGTACGGTTTTGACAAGGTGGTCCCGACCCAATCAAAATTAGCAAGGAGTGGATCAAAGGTCACATCCATATCGGGCCTCTGGGGTCCGTATATCCCGCCGGACTATGATTCAGGCCACGAACGATAAGCCTCTGGGCGGCGGCGGCGGCGGCGCTGAAGCAATTGCGGCTGGATAGACACTGCTCACGCTAGGGAATACAGGTGACTTCTAGGTTGAGGGCGGCAAAGGATAATGATTCGCAGGTTATGTGGGCTAAGGGTTGATCGCGCGACATTATCGTTTAATAGAGGCCCTACAAAAAAAATAAAAAATAAAAAATAAGAAATAGTAGGAAATTGAACCGAATTGGGAAAGGGAAACGAAGAAACCATATTGAGATCAGATAGGTTCGTCAACTAGAGCCCTTCATCACTAAGACCTGCTCATCGCTTTCCCGACACTGGTCCGACTTGGCTTTTAGATAAGGACTCATCTCGACGTCGGGCTCAGGAGTTGCAGTGATACGACCGGCGGAACTTCGGCTTGATTTCTGGTGGACGTATCGGGATCGAATCGATGTCATTCGCCCACGGTTGATGGCGAGACGCAGAAGAGGCCGATAACATGGTAAACACGCAGCAATGAGATATACGCCCACTTCGGCCACACTCCAAACGAGAAAGGTGACGGAAAGCCAGGTGCCGTCGGTTAAGGGATTGTTGGTGAAGAATGCGACGCATCGACAAATGGACGTTACCATGCCACTGGAAAGAGGGAGACGGGGAAACGTCCCTCGGGTTAGTCATAGCTGAAGACTGTTAGAAAAGAGAAAAGAAGGCAGTGACTTACATGCTACCAGTCAGGAAAGTCACTGCGAGACCGTATTTGACTTGTGCTGGAACCTGCAGCTTCCAGACCACAGGCTGCGGCAGGATAAGCATCGCGACGTCGATGATGACGTTTGGTAAAGTGCCCCAGCGATAGAACATGGGAATGTTGTCACATTTACCACCAACGATAGTCTTATCCCAGAGATACGCCGCCGGCCAGCATTCAAAGGCCCCAGCCATGATATCAGCGATGGCAAAGATCACAATAAAGGCCATCAAGCTATAGCAGGCGAAACGATAGCGGCGATTTTTCTCACAGATGCGGAGGTAGAGCGTGAGGAGGACAACACGCGGAAAGCAACACCCGGCCGAGTAGATGATGGGAGTGGCATAGAGACACTTGGCCCAGGGAACCAGGGCTTGAGGGTCTATCACTTCTACAACATCTAGATGATAGCCGACTCGACCGATATCTATGCTCACTAGGTAGGTCATAAAGAGAAATTAGGGGAAGCGATCCCATGACAGTCGGAGGAAACATCAACACCTTGACTTACCCAGAGAAAGGATACAAAGTCCCACAGAACACAAATATCCGGGAATCGTGAGAATATCATCAATGCTCAGGGGTTTCTCGCTTAACCTCAAGGCTACGAAGCGTAGTATGACCGCCAGCGTGACCAGCACGATAAAAGCGATGGATACATCCCGCAGTGTGTCGCCAGAATATTCAAGCATGCGCTCAGGACTGATGGAGGCAGCCATTGCGTGCTTTGGCTTTGTGTTGTTTGTTTCGTTTTTGAGTCAGATACTGCTTGGTACGTGAAGGATAGATTTGGAACACAGGCAAATAACACGCTTAAGTGGGGTAACGGGAATACCCAGAATCCCCCCAGGAGCATTGCTCATTCTTAAACTACTCTACATACTGGGGATGACTAGAGGGTGCGTGCGCTTTAAAGTGATTGACAGGGGTGGTGATAGTAGGACTTGGGGAGGGCGGCGCAGACCGAATTACTTAGAACATGGGGGCGGGAACGGGACATTGGGGCAGGAACAGGTTGGCGTAAAGGATGTGAGGGGAACTTGTAGTAAAGCCAAGTGAATTAATCAAGACCATCCTGGGCCGGGTGCTGACATGCGAAGGCGGCTAATTGCTCGATTGCACCCTGACTGTGCAAGGTGCTAACTTAGTCTCAATCCTAAAAGGGTAAAGCTGTCAGGTCACCGCCTGTTTTGTATGTAAGAAAAAAGAGTCTACAAGAGAAAAAGAAAGGGGAAAAAAAAATCCAAAGAAAACCAAAAAGAAAGCCCCCTGTGAAACCTCTTAACCAACTTGCTGTATTTTCCGCACTTCCGCCTCCCCCCGCACCTCGATGGTGCTGTCCACTTCATTAATAACGCTCTTCCTCGCTCTCCAGAGCCGCCCCCATTCCTCCATGACACGCCCGCAACCCTATCCAATTCTTCTTTGACACCACCATCATGTCCAGCGAAAATTTCGTTATCACCGAGCATGTCGTTCCGTGCTGTCACATTCGGGAGTATCCCGGAAGCACCGTGAATCAGGAGGATGTTTTGCACCTACATGTTAAACAATACACCCCCAGAAACCAAGCCCAGCCAGTGCCGAAAGATGCCGTCACAATCATTGCCGCTCATGGAGCAGCTCTGCCCAAGGTACTTCCATTCCTGTCCAACCAAGTGTAACCATTGCTATGTGTCATTCTTTGAGGCTGATACCTGATGGTCAGGAATTGTATGAACCGCTGTGGGATACACTGTTGGAGCAGGCGAACAATTTTCAGATCCGCAGCATCTGGGCCGCCGATTGCGCCAGTATGAACGTAAGTGGAATTCTAAATGAAGACAAACTCAGCATGGACTGTAAGCTATTTACCCTCTTGTATACCCACCTCAACCAAAGGCTAATGAAGAGTCAGGTTCCTGGATGGATCATTCTCGGGATCTCTTCCTGATGATCAACCACTTTCGAGAGCAAATGCCTCGTCCGATCGTGGGAGTCGGACACAGCTTCGGTGGAAATATAATGTGCGATCATCCCCCCACACTTCCCTCTCCCCTCATCATCTTCATAAAAACAATGATTGACTTCTTCCCTCGTCATTCTTTCTTTGTTTTAACAGTACCAATCTGGCGTATCTTCACCCGCGACTCTTCACCACATTATTACTGATTGACCCTGTAATCCAATTGACACCCCCGCCCATGGGGTTCGGCACCGACGCTACCGGGGCGATCAACTATACCCTTTATCGCAAGGATGTCTGGCCCAGCCGCGAGGTGGCTCTGCGTGCCAATCGCGCTTTTACTCATGGCTGGGATCCCCGCTGCGTGGCTCGCATGGCGCAATACGGGTTCCGCGAGCTGCCCACCGCGCTGTATCCGGACGTGGACGCAGTGAAGGCGGAATTTCAAAGCACCGCATCACCTACTTCTCAACCTCCAGCACAATCACACGATGCCACGACGAACACTACAACCCCAGTGACTCTTACAACAACCAAGTATCACGACCTCCTCGCCC